GAAAAAAACAATATGTAAATATAGCATGTTTGACAATTCGTTAGGCTCTGACCAATTTCAGTCTACACTTGGTAGCCGGGTGAAAGAATGGTCATCCAGTTTTATAACCGATTTAATTCCCTTAATAGTGTGAATAATTGATTGGGGAGTGATTGAATGAATGACATACAGCTATTTCGAGAAAGGTTGTCGGGAAAAGTGCAAGCGACAATCCTGAAAGGCATTGTGGGTGGTTTTGAGTTCTCTTGTTTTCAAAGAAATTTGAAAGAATTGGCACGAAAGGCCATGGAAATGTGTTTGCGAGCGCTAAAGGAAAGCAACAAAAGTAGTTTCGACAGCTACAGTCGTCAGGAACAGTGTATTGATCATTTCCCATATTACCTTTCCAGATTGTCGCGTGCACAGTTTTTCCGACAACCTTTCTCGAAATAGCTGTATACGGATTAAGGCCTGGGTCTAAGAACAACAAGATTTACATAACAAAGCATGAAGGGTGTCAACTCCAGCAGCGTTTCACCTGTAACTATAAAGTGGAATATTCCGACAGAGCTGAATTACGTAGTTCGCATGTCCGTGACATCACTTGTTTACCCAATCTCGACCCAGAGCTCTTCTGGGCATGTAGATGCGCGCATTCCCAAACCCGTAAGCACTGGGGTCGAGAATGTTGTTTACCAACCGCAACCCGTGCGCGAAGCACTTGTGCTGCTTGTGCGAAGTGAATTTGACCATCTGTGAAACTCATGTTTGTGAAAACTAACGAAGGAGAATATTTTTTTCGTAATTGGATGGAGATGAAAAAATAATTATTTCTCTCTTTGGCAACGGGAGACATAAGATATTCGTTAAATTATTGCTAATATTAAAATAAACTAAATAATTATTCTGTTTATCTTAAAGGACATCCCCCCCCCCCCCCCCCCCCCCCCCCTCATTCCCCCCCCCCCAAAAACAACACAAAAAATTTTTTTTTAAAAAAAAAATAAAAAGTTGTTTTTTTTTGTAAACATTCCCTCCACAGTGTTTATTGTATTTTTTCTCACTGCTCGACGCGTTGTAATTAAATTACCAACAAAAAAAAAATTTAGATAAACTAACAAAGGAGAATATTTTTTTCTTAATTGGGAGAAGAAGAAAAAATAATTATTTCTCTTTTTGGGAACGGGAAAAATAAAAAATTTCTTAAATTATTGCTAATATTAAAAAAAACTAAATAATTTATCTTGTTATTTTAAAAGACAACCCCCCCCCCCCCCACCCTCCACTTTTAATGCCCAATCTGCAAAAGGTACTAAAATCTATTTATATTCAACAGAAGTTTGAAGATTTTATTTCTGGGGAAAGACTCACCTGTGAACTGTGTATCAATTCTTGACCAGTTAGGCGACAGTTAGTTAACAATTTCCACAAACATAAAAGAGGTTTTACTATTGAAGACATTACTGGCCGCAGTTGCTTGATATAAAAGAGGAGGCCGGATTTAGGCACTCCAGAACAGATGTCAAGTGCCCCATTACGTGGTCATAAAAAGAACATAGCTGTTGATCTCTGCCTGTACTTTCAATAAGTGTCGACTATCTTTGCATCATTTTTATGAATTAATATTTTTGTACACCGTAATTTTTAGGGAGTTATTATAACTCCAAAACTGGAGTAAAAATTTTAGGTACAGGATAACCCCTTTTTTGGGGTTATTTTAACTCCTAATTGAACTCCGAATTTGGGGTCATTTTTGCTCCTGAAAAAGAGTTCTTTTTACTCCCAGTCTGGAGTTAAAATTACTCCGAAACGGGGTTACTTGTACTCCTTACATGGGTTGTTTTTACTCTTTTTGGAGTTAATTTAACTCTGAAAGTGGAGTAAAAATTTTAAGTGCAGGATAACTCCTTTTTTGGGGTTATTTTAACTCCTCAATATCTGGGGTCACTTTTACCCCTGAAAAAGAGTTCTTTAAACTACTTTTTGGAGTTAAAGTAACTCCACGAAAAATAACTCCACTGTAAGGAGTTAAATTAGCCCCACTAGAGGAGTTATTATAACTTCCTGAAAATTACAGTGTAGTCAAAAGATAGATGATATGAAGCTAACGTAAGGATTACAGCTACCTTGATTTACTCCGATGGTGTAAAATACTAAGACAGATTGACACACTTCAATTTCATAAATGACTCGCTGGTATTTAAAAACGGCAGGTTAGGCCATGTTGTTTTAGAGAGGAAAAGGGGGTTTTTCCAGACGCACCATACAACAGCGCAAGACTGAATTAAGATTTTGATTTAGATTCAAAAAGCAAAATTTCGGTGGCCTAGCTTTGTAATCTAGCATGTACTTTATTAGTACAACTGACTGCAGTAGCCTTATAAAGGTTGCTTCCTAGTAAAGGGAAATAAGTTTGGAAGAAAGAAGAGAATTCGAAACATCAATGACATTGTTTTGTGTTCTTACAGTTCTAAAAGTGAAAACTAGCGAGACGTAACAAGAGAAATAACTCAAGGCGATCACTCAGGGAAAAATAAAGATAAATATCAAAATATATCTTTATAAATGCTAATACTGATATGCGATGTCGGGACGATATTCTTAGAAATGATAACATGTTATAGTCTGTCTTTCATTTCTGTTCTCTGCTTCGTACGTGCATCTTCTTTTGTTCATAGCAAAAAACGGATGAAAAATTACGGAGACGGAAACGAAGACCTGGATAAAATATCAAATGTTGTACCTTTAGTTTAAATGGGAAGCTTAAATGTTCGGAAACCACCTTAAAAATCGGCAAAATGTGAGGATGTTTTGAAACTCCTTTGCAAACGGTACTAATTTAGTACCCAGGCGCTTCGTAGGTGCGTCTTCTTTTGTTCATAGCAAAAAAGTAGAAGAAAAATTACAAAACTAGAAACGAGAATTGAATTAAGTATGAAATAATCTACCTTCACTTTAAATGGGAACCTTAAATATTCATTCCTCCTCTTTATCAAAGGTGGCAAGTTGTAGCTGCGACAGTCCTGTATAGGATGCATACCAGTCTGTGCCCCTCTGATTTGAAAACCATGTTTCCTCAACCCTACCGCCCAATACGAGCAACCTGCGCAAGCCTGAGTATATGCCAAGCCCGTACCCTGGAAGAGCCGAAATCAAGATCGTATTCTTCAGGAAGAAGTTTTATGTATCGCGCTGTTAAAATCTGGAACAGCCTGTCGGACAACATCGTAGGCATTAAAATGACGCGGGAATTCAATCTTGAAGAACCGGTTGCACAAGTTCCTCCACCAATGTTGACTAGAAATGGAAACTGCTGACTGTTTAGTTCTAAACATTTTTCGTTTTTTCGTTTTGTACACTGTAAGTGTGATATGTTAATATGTTGAACAATCGAATAGAGAGTTATATAGCTCCAAGAATCTCCTGTTTTAGAGTTTGTACCTGTCTCATGTAATCAACGAAGTGTTTCATACCGGTCTCAAGTAAACGACTGCAAAAATTACAAATTCGTACCGGCCTGAGTTCGTCCTGGTCTCATGAATTACCCCCAAGACAGAAGATTCTTGGAGCTATATATATAACTTTCTTACTAAGTCGATTATTTAACATATTTTTCGCTGACTGTCCTAACTGGTACACAATTTACGCCAATTAAGACAGTGAGTAGAGAACCGTAGATTTTACTGTTCCCAGAAAATTGTAAACTTTAATATCTAACGCTCATCTGGTGGCATGTAAAATGCTCAGATCTCAAAATGGTGCAGTCCATAACATTAACCTAAGCATATATTCAGCTAAAGCTACTTCCAAGTCTTGTTTACAGTTATTCAAAGCGGTGTTCTTACTTTGCTAAGGAAAAGCAAAAATGATGGACTTATACGAAGAAACATGCTATTTATGGACCCGGCCTGAGATTCGTTTCCGTTTTACATGAGAACGGTACAGTCTTAGACCGGTACGAAAGTAACTCGTGTTGGGTCAGCGACTGACACGAAGTCAGACCGGTATGAGTTCATTTTTAGGCCGGTTGCATGTAAACGCATGAAAAGAAATGTATGGAGACTGATACGAACTCATACTAGTCTGAGTTCGTCTCGGTCTCATGTAATTACCGCCTAAGATAGTACGCGCATTCTGATTGGTTAAAAACCTATGGTTTATTGTGCCGGTAAACTCGTGAAAACTCCGTTTTACTTGTAGTTATTTTATAAAAACAATAGACCACACTTTCTATGGGTTTACCGCCGTGATAAGAGATGTTGTAATTGGCAGAACACGATAAAAGCTTGATTTACAAGCTTTTCGAGTGTTGTCCCAACATCTCAGTTGCTTACAGAAACTTTCCTATCACGAAGGCTTCGTTTTGTTTTACCAATGTAAAAATCTTTACAATCCCAACAACTGGCTTTGTAGAACGATTCAAGCGGTCCTTGTAAGATTTGATGCGGCCAGTGTTTGGAAGATTTATTCTCACCAGTCGTGAAGTCTTGTACACGTATTCTTGCAAGCGTCATCAGTTCTTGTATTGCAAAAAAAGATGGTTCCAAAATACGGATTTTTCTCTCTTAAAATGTCAGCTAAAGCGAAAAAAACATTGACACAGCATGTTTGCAAAGATTCTCCAAGTTCCCGTCTACGAGGGAATGTGTGAATAAAGTAAACTTGTCGAGTTTTCATCTCAAAGACTCATGCTTGCGTGATTAACGCGCGAAAAGAAAAACATCTTGCTGTCACAACCATGTTTACGTACACTCTCATGCAAACATGCCTCTTGGCCAATCAGAGCGCGCGTACTATCTTTAGTTAGTTATTTTAATAAGACAAATAGTAACAGCAACGTCTACCCGAACAGACACAGTTCTACGTGTCCACACGCCAAACCCACACTAAAACAATCGTGCAGCCAACGAATCGAAAAACCCTGCAATTCAGGGTGAAAACTCGAAGTTTCTCTTATCTAGCGATTGGTGAAACGAAGGAAAACGGTCTAAATTATTGTTGCGATAACTCTAATTATTATCTCACTCCTCATACAGCACTTTTACGTCACCAGGTAAGTGTTTCTCATCAAGATATTCCAAAGGATAATGTATAGTGCCATACATAAGATACCTAATACGTGATAAACCTCTTTTACTACCTTTGTTGTTTTTTTCCCATTCCACCCAAAGTTTGTCGAGAAAGCTGTGGTGAAGCCAAAATTCTAGGTTGTATGGAGCCGTTTTGAAGTATTGACTGGCACCAATACATTTATGAAAAATGAGGTGAAGACCGCCAAAAATTGTATCGCTAAAGACAGTATAATTTGCCTCCTTGAGGACCTTTTTTGCTTGTTCTGCATTTGGTAGATTGCAAGAATAATTAAAATGTCTTTTTAAGCAATTCCCACCAGCAGACTGTGGTAAAGAGTATTCACCCTTTTTAAACGAACCATCCATTACGCAGTTGAAAGGGGAGACCCCATTACCTCCCAGACCGTGAGGACCTGGATTCCACACATCCTCGATCTCAGAACCTCGGGTCCAGTGCGCCGCGTCTTTAATCCATTCCCAGTAAGGAATTGTAATCCGGCAGTCGATCTGGCGAAGAAGATTTTCTAACTCCAGGACATACCATCTGTGCCAGGGGTAAAAATACTTCGGTTCTGGTACTATTGTATGCAGCTTTCCTAATTTCTCATAGTCGCTTTTGTATCTTGGATCAGACGAAAGAAGTTTGAAAGCTTTTATGAGGCGTGTTCGCTTTTCAAGGCTCATTTTTTTGAAGTCTTGTCGTACTCTGTAGCAAGAAACTAGTTTTCTATTCTTACATTTGCATCTCCTATCACAGATGTCCCGAAAGGTGTTTTTGTTTCCGCAACCTATCAAAACGAAATCAAGAGTCACAAGATCAACCTCGTTCCCAGGGTTCTCTCCATGGGGGCGGGTAGGAGAGAACCCTGGGAACGAGGTCGTCACAAGATCTCCAGCTTCCCTGCCGGACACCCTACCGTCTTTGAACACGAAATGAGAACATGACTCAAACATAGCCTGCGAGCAAGCTCTCCATCTAGGGGAGTCGCCAGAATTCACTCGAGAGCCGAACACGACAGAAGACGCGAGCTCTCTCGCGGAACACTTCACTCGCCACATATTGGTAAGCTTGCGCTCAGGCTAAGAACAACTGAAGCAGGAAATCGACGGAACTGCACGTATTTGTATGCCATGGAAAGGGCGATTAGAGGTTCCTGAAAATTAGCTTTATCGAGATCGACGCAGCCATGGTCACGTGGAGACACCATTGCCATTAATTTTTATATTTCCTCCATTTGTGATGGAAGCTAGACATTCTTTTTTGAAGTTGTTACAAGATTTACACGTCATGTAACTATGTTTAGCTTCACAAATTGTAAACCATTTTTATACGAGCGTTTTCGAGAAATGCCTGGTTGAAACTTTTAGCTGTTAAACTTGCCGAAACGAATCATAAGCAAAGCTTTTTGCAAATAATAAACGCACCTTTAGTCTGTCCTTGAGAAAAAAACGGAAAACGTTTCGTATTGCTCTAATTGTAATTAACCTTACAGCCAATTTTCTAGTCCGTACTGAAATAAAGTCGGGTAACTTGCAGTTGTTAATTGTTGGGAGCCAATTTTAATTTCTTTTTGCTGCTGGCGGGTAAAGCCAGTGAAAACTTTCTCATTCCCAATAATTCATCTTCGTTCGCCCCTCCCCCCACCTCTTGTCCCCAAACTATTTGCACAACATACTAACATACCGTAAATTCCAAAAAATAAGCTGCGGGACTTATATTTCTCAAAGGTCCTTTTTGAGGGGCTTATATTCGGAGGGGCTTATCTTCGGAGAGAAATTTGCGTTTCAAAATCGATTGGGATAGCCTTATAGTTGGAAGGAAATTTACCGGTTTTCCTTTGTTTTACTTTGTATTTGAGAGCAATTTCCAAGTACAAGCCCCCAAGGCGCTTATATTTGGAGGGGCGATTTAACGGACGGTTTTTTGCGCTACAAGTTTGGGGGGCTTATATTTGGAGGAGCTTATACATGGAGGGGCTTTTTTTCGGAATTTACGGTACTTACTTTATTCAAGATGTAAACAAGCTTCTTTACAGGAAAAACATAGTATTAAAAGACATCTTGAAAAGAGAGTTGAGAGGTTAGCCCTGTATTAGAACTCCCAAACAGAAATAGAAAATGCTAAACAATACAAGTATTCAAAAATAAAGGACTTGATTAAAGCACGGTTCTAGTTTAAAATTTATTAAATAGATAATGATGAAGCTTATGTTTAAATGATGAAGGCTTTCGGCCTGTGCTATGTCTCTTGGTAAATCGCTCCATTTTGAAAGTATTCTATAAAAATATAATATTTGTAGCAATCGCGTCTTGCGCTTTTAACATACAATTTGAAGGGGTGGATTGGCTCTTGTTGACCCAGCTTTTGAGAATTCAAATGATAGTATCCAAAGACGAACTCACTCAATTAAAGATAAAATGATAATTTCTACGGTCAGATAGCGACGGCCAGTTCAACAATTTACAACAATCGACATAAGCCATTTCTCCTTTGGGTTGATTAAGTGCTAATCTATATGCCGTTCTCTGTACACTCTTCAAGGCGCGGATGTCTTTGACGAGGTAAGGCCACCAAACGGATACTGTTACAGCGTATTCAGGAATTGGTCATACCAGAGATAAATACAGCGTGGAAAAAAACGCTTGCGTTGGTACTGCCATCAGAACGTTTGATTAAACGTAATAGATTTTAAGCTTTGTTCACAGTTATGCTAATATGATTATCCTGTGAGAGATCCTTCGATATCGTAACGCCTCGGTCTTTGAAGCTCTTCACCAACCTCGTTCCCAGGGTTCTCTCCTACCCACCCTGTCTCGCTCCGTAGGGCGGATAGAAGAGAACCCTGGGAACGAGGTTGGCTCTTCACGTCCTTCAAAGGCTTATCTAACATATGTTGCGTAACAGACTTATCGCGTGTATGAGTTATGCGCATAGATTCACACTTGTCCGTATTAAACGGTAACTGCCACTCGCGCGCCCACTTCATAAGGTTGGACAGATCCATTTGTGAAGGCTGAGGATCCTTAATAGGGTCGACCATTTGACGATAGGTCTTTGTATCGTCGGCAGAAAGTTTCACAGTTGATGAAACACAATTGGTTATCTCGTTGATATAGATCAAAAACAATAATGGGTAGAGAATGGTCCCTTGTGGAGCACCAGAACTAACACCAGTGGTATTACGGTGGATCTTCCTTTCAGAAAAACGAATTGGTTGTTAGTTATCAGACCAGTTTATTGCCAAAACTTATGCAGCCTATCAAAACAAATCAGGGAAAAGCCGGTTCTAACTGACTGGTTGTGACTTGTTTCTCTTTGACTGCAGTGTTTTTTTTTTTTAATTAAGATTTATTCTCAAAACATAATAATTCGTTCAACCGAACTTTTCTGGCAAAGATACTTTAGAAACTTTTAAACAGCTCGTCCCAAGCAGGCATTTATAGGCAATACGAAAATACGTAAGTCCATACGACACAACCAATCAGACGTAGTTTCCCTCAGTTCACGCGCTGCCTGCGTCCTGTCAGGAAGTGCCTGAGCCAGGCATGCAAGCAGCCGTCAATACACTTGCCTTTCAGCTACAGCGGGAGTCTTTCGTGAGCAAAACTGTCGCATAGCTTGGCCAGGCCAAGGAAAACCACCTCCGTTGGGCGAGACAAATCACACGATTTAGCCCAGTCATTCATTGACTGGACGGTGGCTCTTCCTTTCAGAAAACCGAATTGATTGTATCAGAGAAGTTTCTTGCCAAAACGTATGCATCCAATTAAAAACAAATTTTTCCCCAATTTCACAAAATAATAAGAGATGTGAGAGAGATTGGGTGGTAATTTTCGCTGAGAGATTTAGAGTCCTTCTTGTGTAATGGTGTGATATCAACGCATTGCAATTAATTAGGTAATAAATCGGAGGAGAATGATTTGTTTAATATACGCCATTAAAGGTGCTAGTTCCGGTGCACATTTTCCCAAAACGCAAGAGGCGATATTGTCAGGCCCAGGGGACTTTTTATTAGGCTTGAGTTTCAGAAGGAGGCGTCTTACTTCATCAGTACTACAACTGATATTTTCGAGTTTCATGACAGAAACGCAATCTGGGGTACCAAAACACAGAGAGGAAGTAGGAGTTGATGCACTGAACAATAGAGAGGTCGTCTGTCACAACAGCAATGTCGATTTTTAAGAAAACAAGCTTGTTAGTTCGTCTTCTCTTGAACTTAACAAAATTCCAGAAGGGTTTGAGTTTTCATTTTTTTTTCAGATCGGAGGCTAGTCTTTCAATGTATGCCCATCGAGCTGTTTTGCAGTGTGTCTTTACAGAATTGTTCACTCGTTGGTGTTTTTCCCAAATGGTTGTTTTGTTACTTCTGCGAGGTTTGTACAAAGATCTTTCCTTTTTGCACAAGGCAATAAGTTCCTTGGTGATCCAGGGAGCACATAGACGTACGGGCCGGGGGGCGAGTGGGAATGCAGCCCCCCCCCCAAAAAAGTTGGGCAACTCAGATTTTTTTGGTCAGCAAGAGAAAATTTAGGCAAAGCCAGTTTTTAAGGAGTGACGTTTCCATGTTTTTTTTTTTTATTATTGTTTTGAAGAGATATATATTTTCTATTTTAACCTGAAGTCGGCGTAATAATCCAGTTACATTCACACGAGACGGTGGTTGCCTAGCACGTGATAAGTTTCTGGTTAATATAACTGACGGGAAGGGTATCATATGCTGATTTTTTTTATTGTTGGGAACTGTGCTGCGCTGTACTGCACTGCAATAGCTGGAGTGGGCTATTTCCAGTCCTGACTTGACTAGAAAAAACTCAGTCCGCATAACTTTCTAGAATCATCTCCGCTCGAAGAACAGTGTATGGCAGATAGCATCAGCTCTTAGTTTTTTAAAAAAAATCTATCGAGCGGTTTAAAAATTATTCACTAATTTGTTAAAGTAGACCGAGATGTTTACAAAACCACTAACGAGAGCGCCATGATACAGACTATTCAAATCGTTCTTTGTAGCAATTGGCCAGAACTATCTCCATGATCTTTCATACACGTTTTTAAAAGGATTGAAGCTACTGTGAGGTGAAATTGCATTTCAAAAGCGCTTCTTTTTCTACAGATAACGGCCAAACATCAAGATTTTCCTTTTTTACCGTATTTCTAACGATAAAAACTTCATCCCAAAATATTGGAGGAAAAAGGTCCGGTGAACGATTTTGTAAGAACAGTTCCCAGTGACAAATATTGCTGCAAGTATAATAGGTACTGGCGTTATTTCGTTGCTATGAAAACTCCGATGTCGTTGCGACCCTGATCGTGGCAAATTTTCATCTTTATCTCAGTAATACAACAGTGGTGGCAATTTTTCTAAAAG